AGGTCAAACACTGTGGTGGAACGACAGAAAGCATGTTCCCCCAGGACAAACACTGTGGTTGAATGACAGAAAGCAAGTTCCCCCAGGACAAACACTGTGGTGGAATGACAGAAAACATGTTCCTTCAGTACAAACACTGTGGTGGAGTGACAGAAAGCATGTTCCTTCAGTACAAACACTGTGGTGGAGTGACAGAAAGCATGTTCCCCTAGGTCAAACACTGTGGTGGAACGACAGAAAGCATGTTCCCCCAGGACAAACACTGTGGTTGAATGACAGAAAGCAAGTTCCCCCAGGACAAACACTGTGGTGGAATGACAGAAAGCATGTTCCTTCAGTACAAACACTGTGGTGGAGTGACAGAAAGCATGTTCCCCTAGGTCAAACACTGCGGTGGAGTGACTGAAAGCATGTTCCTTCAGGACTAACACTGTGGTGGAATGACAGAAAGCATGTTCCCCCAGGACAAACACTGAAGTGGAATGACAGAAAGCATGTTCCCCCGGGACAAACACTGGTGGAGTGATAGAAAGCATGTTCCCCCAGGACAAACACTGTGGTGGAATGACAGAAAGCATGTTCCCCCAGGACAAACACTGGTGGAGTGACAGAAAGCATGTTCCCCCAGGTCAAACACTGTGGTGGAGTGACAGAAAGCATGCTCCCCCAGGACAAACACTGTGGTGGAATGACAGAAAGCATGTTCCTTCACGACAAACACTGTGGTGGAGTGACAGAAAGCATGTTCCCCCAGGACAAACACTGTGGTGGAGTGATAGAAAGCATGTTCCCCCAGGACAAACACTGTGGCGGAGTGACAGAAAGCATGTTCCTTCTGGACAAACACTGTGGTGGAGTGACAGAAAGCATGTTCCCCCAGGTCAAACACTGTGGTGGAGTGACAGAAAGCATGCTCCCCCAGGACAAACACTGTGGTGGAATGACGGAAAGCATGTTCCTTCACGACAAACACTGTGGTGGAGTGACAGAAAGCATGTTCCCCAAGGGCAAACACTGTGGTGGAGTGACAGAAAGCATGTTCCCCTAGGTCAAACACTGTGGTGGAATGACAGAAAGCATGTTCCTTCACGACAAACACTGTGGTGGAGTGACAGAAAGCATGTTCCCCAAGGGCAAACACTGTGGTGGAGTGACAGAAAGCATGTTCCCCCAGGTCAAACACTGTGGTGGAGTGACAGAAAGCATGCTCCCCCAGGACAAACACTGTGGTGGAATGACAGAAAGAATGTTCCTTCACGACAAACACTGTGGTGGAGTGACAGAAAGCATGTTCCCCAAGGACAAACACTGTGGTGGAGTGACAGAAAGCATGTTCCCCCAGGACAAACACTGTGGTGGAGTGACAGAAAGCATGTTCCCCAAGGGCAAACACTGTGGCGGAGTGACAGAAAGCATGTTCCCCTAGGACAAACACTGTGGTGGAGTGACAGAAAGCATGTTCCCCCAGGAGAAACACTGTGGTGGAGTGACAGAAAGCATGTTCCCCAAGGGCAAACACTGTGGTGGAGTGACAGAAAGCATGTTCCCCCAGGTCAAACACTGTGGTGGAGTGACAGAAAGCATGCTCCCCCAGGGCAAACACTGTGGTGGAATGACAGAAAGCATGTTCCTTCACGACAAACACTGTGGTGGAGTGACAGAAAGCATGTTCCCCAAGGGCAAACACTGTGGTGGAGTGACAGAAAGCATGTTCCCCTAGGTCAAACACTGTGGTGGAATGACAGAAAGCATGTTCCTTCACGACAAACACTGTGGTGGAGTGACAGAAAGCATGTTCCCCCAGGACAAACACTGTGGTGGAGTGACAGAAAGCATGTTCCCCAAGGGCAAACACTGTGGTGGAGTGACAGAAAGCATGTCCCCCCAGGACAAACACTGGTGGAGTGACAGAAAGCATGTTCCCCAAGGGCAAACACTGTGGTGGAGTGACAGAAAGCATGTTCCCCAAGGGCAAACACTGTGGTGGAGTGACAGAAAGCATGTTCCCCCAGGAGAAACACTGTGGTGGAGTGACAGAAAGCATGTTCCCCAAGGGCAAACACTGTGGTGGAGTGACAGAAAGCATGTTCCCCCAGGTCAAACACTGTGGTGGAGTGACAGAAAGCATGCTCCCCCAGGGCAAACACTGTGGTGGAATGACAGAAAGCATGTTCCTTCACGACAAACACTGTGGTGGAGTGACAGAAAGCATGTTCCCCAAGGGCAAACACTGTGGTGGAGTGACAGAAAGCATGTTCCCCTAGGTCAAACACTGTGGTGGAATGACAGAAAGCATGTTCCTTCACGACAAACACTGTGGTGGAGTGACAGAAAGCATGTTCCCCCAGGACAAACACTGTGGTGGAGTGACAGAAAGCATGTTCCCCAAGGGCAAACACTGTGGTGGAATGACAGAAAGCATGTTCCTTCACGACAAACACTGTGGTGGAGTGACAGAAAGCATGTTCCCCCAGGACAAACACTGTGGTGGAGTGACAGAAAGCATGTTCCCCCAGGACAAACACTGTGGTGGAGTGACAGAAAGCATGTTCCCCCAGGAGAAACACTGTGGTGGAGTGACAGAAAGCATGCTCCCCCAGGACAAACACTGTGGTGGAGTGACAGAAAGCATGTTCCCCCAGGAGAAACACTGTGGTGGAGTGACAGAAAGCATGTTCCCCCAGGGCAAACACTGTGGTGGAGTGACAGAAAGCATGTTCCCCCAGGGCAAACACTGCGGTGGAGTGACAGAAAGCATGTTCCCCAAGGGCAAACACTGTGGTGGAATGACAGAAAGCATGTTCCTTCACGACAAACACTGTGGTGGAATGACAGAAAGCATGTTCCTTCACGACAAACACTGTGGTGGAGTGACAGAAAGCATGTTCCCCAAGGACAAACACTGTGGTGGAGTGACAGAAAGCATGTTCCTTCACGACAAACACTGTGGTGGAGTGACAGAAAGCATGTTCCCCAAGGACAAACACTGTGGTGGAGTGACAGAAAGCATGTTCCTTCACGACAAACACTGTGGTGGAGTGACAGAAAGCATGTTCCCCAAGGACAAACACTGTGGTGGAGTGACAGAAAGCATGTTCCTTCACGACAAACACTGTGGTGGAGTGACAGAAAGCATGTTACCCAAGGACAAACACTGTGGTGGAGTGACAGAAAGCATGTTCCTTCACGACAAACACTGTGGTGGAGTGACAGAAAGCATGTTCCCCAAGGGCAAACACTGTGGCGGAGTGACAGAAAGCATGTTCCTTCACGACAAACACTGTGGTGGAGTGACAGAAAGCATGTTCCCCCAGGACAAACACTGTGGTGGAGTGACAGAAAGCATGTTCCTTCACGACAAACACTGTGGTGGAGTGACAGAAAGCATGTTCCCCCAGGACAAACACTGTGGTGGAGTGACAGAAAGCATGTTCCCCCAGGACAAACACTGGTGGAGTGACAGAAAGCATGTTCCCCAAGGGCAAACACTGTGGTGGAGTGACAGAAAGCATGTCCCCCAGGACAAACACTGGTGGAGTGACAGAAAGCATGTTCCTTCACGACAAACACTGTGGTGGAGTGACAGAAAGCATGTTCCCCCAGGACAAACACTGTGGTGGAGTGACAGAAAGCATGTTCCCCCAGGACAAACACTGTGGTGGAGTGACAGAAAGCATGTTCCCCCAGGACAAACACTGGTGGAGTGACAGAAAGCATGTTCCCCAAGGGCAAACACTGTGGTGGAGTGACAGAAAGCATGTTCCCCCAGGACAAACACTGTGGTGGAGTGATAGAATGTAAGACTCTTTTCAATATGGGTATGTAGGATAGGGATATTCCACCCTCGGGATCACAAAGTGTGGTAAAAAGCCTCGGCCCTACATACCCATATAGAAAAGAGTTTTTTTTCTCTCATTTCTAATCTCATATTATCAAATATTTGCACTCACCTCGCGATAGCCATCACTAGACGCCACCATTTTTCAGATTTTTTTTCCTTGGGCCATATACTTAAAAAAATGCTGAAATAGATTCTCCATCCTCGAATTTTGCAAACTATGTTTGCGGTCGAAAACACAATATGGACTTTGAATGTAAACATCCAACGTCAGTGTTTAACTGTTTTTTCTTCAAGCGGGCTTGGTCAAATAGCCTGTCAAATATATCACGTACGCGTTCAAATATAGTGCCTTAATACACGCAATAAAACAACACTTTTCTTTTTAATATTTACTATTGCTCAATGTATAATATATCATAAACACTTTTTACATCTTTGAACATGTTGGTCAAGTTATTAATACTACTTCACTGTCAATAGTAATCTTACAAATCTTACACATTTATGAATAGAATTCTTGGTTTGCTTGTGAGATGACGTCACTTACGTCACACATTTCGCGCCACACCGACAGGAGAAAAGTTAGTCACTGTCACTTTCAATCACACGTGGACGACGGCGGAAAGGCCGAGTCCCAGGGTTGGTGATGTTGATATTTATAGAACAGTTTTGTTAATACGAGCCTACAAACAATGACTCCAATCGACTATGCGTGTTTGTGGATGAAGCGGTTGACGAGGACATAGTCGACGAGTGCGCGGGAAAAAACTATGAATTACTCCGCGCGCGCGGCTTTATTACACAGGCGCCTGTGAAATAAACGTCTATCATGGCCATGTTTATTGCCCTGGACAGGCCTATCTGACACAGGTGGAGTGACAGAAAGCATGTTCCTCCAGGACAAACACTGTGATGGAGTGACAGAAAGCATGTTCCTACTGGACAAACACTGTGGTGTTGTACAAGAATAAAACTTAAGTTAGGGCGATAATCAATTAATGACAGATCATTTGGATAGTCATAAGTACCTATTTTTATCTGCCATTATAGGGGTAGGCAAACGTTCGATGAAAATTGATCTCCGTTAGCTTTGGATATCGTAGTTTGTAATGATAATGCTGTTATTTACACTTTCTTTTTGTTTTCAGAAAAACACACCATGGATTCCTTTAAAGAAGAGCTGGTCAGGCGGATGAATAATACCAAGCTGTTCCCCTTCTATGGGTTACTGGCGATTTACTACCTGTCCTATCTTCCGTTCTGGCACTACCCTCCTGTTACCATATCCGCTGCGTTCTTCAAAGCACTTCCAATCTGGAGCTTGGCGTTCTTTGTAAGACAGACGGCTGGTGTTCAACGATCGGATGTATTCCCCAAAGAATATTATTCAAAGTTTGTCATGCTGGGTTTGTTGATATCGAGCGTAGGTGACGCTTTCTTAGTGTCGAGACACACTCTCTTCATACCAGGTATGCTAGCCTTCATGATTGCTCATTGCTGTTACTTGTTAGCGTTTGGACCTAGCGAGGTCCCGGAGAGTAGGATAAAATCGGTATATGCCCTTGGTGGTGTAGCTTCATTTTTTTACATCTCTGATGCCATAGACAGCTTTCTGATGCAGCTGATTGTCTTGTGCTACTTTGTGGTGATATTTATCGTTGGATGGAGAGCGGAGGCGCGGTATGAAAGAAACCAAACCTATTCGGCGTTGTTCGGTAGCTTAGGAATGTTCTTTTTCATGTTCTCAGACTTCATCATAGCAACCGACAAATGGAAATTCTATGTGCCTTTTTCCGAATTTATTGTATTGAGTTTTTACTATATGGCCCAGTTCTGCATTGCCATCAGCACAGAAGAGGACAAGCCATCACTGTGAATGTTTTAAGACTATCAAAATGCTGAGTGTTATTTTACACAGTATGTATGGAGTCCATGAATACGTGATTAAATGTTCATCCACATGTTTTCAAAACGTGAACGTATTCCTATAAAAGGAAGGTGTAGTCGCTGTTCAAATGTTAACGTACATTTGGCTTTTCTCTCGCTTTTTTCGGCATTCGAATGCTTGACGTATGTTAGTCTGGCATCTTCATATTGTGACAAAATTATGTTATAAGAGTTTTAGTTCGTGCTTATATGGCATTTGTAAAATTCTGAAATCGGATCGTATTTTTGTGATTTTGAAATATTTAATGAGTATTGCTTTACATAAAAAAGATAAGCTAAATGATTTTTAGGTTTTTCAAAGATTTTTTGTCACAAAACACATTTAATGTGTAAAAATAGCAATTGTAATATTAATTTTGCTATAGAACAGACTACTATGTTTTTGTCTTTACAAAGGAGAATGTTAGATAAATACCTGTGTTTGGATTTCGTCGATGCTTACTAATGATCGCGATAATCACGATGAAATGTGTTCTATTGTGTCTGATTTAGACAATTTTGTTACCGATATTATTTATGACACAGGACAGAGTGTTTAACAAGCTTCACATCATGGTGTTTTAGTATCCACTACAGATAATATATATATGATATAAGACAGAGTGTTTAACAAGCCTCACATCATGGTGTTTTAGTATCCACTACAGATAATATATCTATGATATAAGACAGAGTGTTTAACAAGCCTCACATCATGGTGTTTTAGTATCCACTACAGATAATATATATCTGACACAGAACAGAGTGTTTAACAAGCTTCACATCATGGTGTTTTAGTATCCACTACAGATAATATATATATGATATAAGACTGAGTGTTTAACAAGCCTCACATCATGGTGTTTTAGTATCCACTACAGATAATATATATATGATATAAGACAGAGTGTTTAACAAGCCTCACATCATGGTGTTTTAGTATCCACTACAGATGATATATATATGATATAAGACAGAGTGTTTAACAAGCCTCACATCATGGTGTTTTAGTATCCACTACAGATAATATATATATATGATAAAGGACAGAGTGTTTAACAAGCTTCACATCATGGTGTTTCAGTATCCACTACAGATAATATATATCTGACACAGGACATAGTGTTTAACAAGCCTCACATCATGGTGTTTTAGTATCCACTACAGATAATATATATATATGATAAAGGACAGAGTGTTTAACAAGCTTCACATCATGGTGTTTCAGTATCCACTACAGATAATATATATCTGACACAGGACATAGTGTTTAACAAGCCTCACATCATGGTGTTTTAGTATCCACTACAGATAATATATATATGATATAAGACTGAGTGTTTAACAAGCCTCACATCATGGTGTTTTAGTATCCACTACAGATAATATATATATGATAAAGGACAGAGTGTTTAACAAGCTTCACATCATGGTGTTTTAGTATCCACTACAGATAATATATATATGATAAAGGACAGAGTGTTTAACAAGCCTCACATCATGGTGTTTTAGTATCCACTACAGATAATATATATCTGACACAGAACAGAGTGTTTAACAAGCTTCACATCATGGTGTTTTAGTATCCACTACAGATAATATATATATGATATAAGACTGAGTGTTTAACAAGCCTCACATCATGGTGTTTTAGTATCCACTACAGATAATATATATATGATATAAGACAGAGTGTTTAACAAGCCTCACATCATGGTGTTTTAGTATCCACTACAGATGATATATATATGATTTAAGACAGAGTGTTTAACAAGCTTCACATCATGGTGTTTTAGTATCCACTACAGATAATATATATCTGACACAGAACATAGTGTTTAACAAGCCTCACATCATGGTGTTTTAGTATCCACTACAGATAATATATATATGATATAAGACAGAGTGTTTAACAAGCCTCACATCATGGTGTTTTAGTATCCACTACAGATAATATATCTATGATATAAGACAGAGTGTTTAACAAGCCTCACATCATGGTGTTTTAGTATCCACTACAGATAATATATATATGATAAAGGACAGAGTGTTTAACAAGCTTCACATCATGGTGTTTTAGTATCCACTACAGATAATATATATCTGACACAGGACATAGTGTTTAACAAGCCTCACATCATGGTGTTTTAGTATCCACTACAGATAATATATATATGATATAAGACAGAGTGTTTAACAAGCCTCACATCATGGTGTTTTAGTATCCACTACAGATAATATATATCTGACACAGGACAGAGTGTTTAACAAGCTTCACATCATGGTGTTTTAGTATCCACTACAGATAATATATATATGATATAAGACAGAGTGTTTAACAAGCTTCACATCATGGTGTTTTAGTATCCACTACAGATAATATATATCTGACACAGGACATAGTGTTTAACAAGCCTCACATCATGGTGTTTTAGTATCCACTACAGATAATATATATATGATAAAGGACAGAGTGTTTAACAAGCTTCACATCATGGTGTTTTAGTATCCACTACAGATAATATATATCTGACACAGGACATAGTGTTTAACAAGCCTCACATCATGGTGTTTTAGTATCCACTACAGATAATATATATCTGACACAGGACAGAGTGTTTAACAAGCTTCACATCATGGTGTTTTAGTATCCACTACAGATAATATATATATGATATAAGACAGAGTGTTTAACAAGCCTCACATCATGGTGTTTTAGTATCCACTACAGATAATATATATCTGACACAGGACAGAGTGTTTAACAAGCTTCACATCATGGTGTTTTAGTATCCACTACAGATAATATATATATGATATAAGACAGAGTGTTTAACAAGCCTCACATCATTGTGTTTTGGTATCCACTACAGATACTATATATCTGACACAGGACAGAGTGTTTAACAAGCCTCACATCATTGTGTTTTAGTATCCACTACAGATAATATATATATATGATAAAGGACAGAGTGTTTAACAAGCCTCACATCATGGTATTTTAGTATCCACTACAGATAATATATATCTGACACAGGACAGAGTGTTTAACAAGCCTCACATCATTGTGTTTTAGTATCCACTACAGATAAGATATATATATGATAAAGGACAGAGTGTTTAACAAGCTTCACATCATGGTGTTTTAGTATCCACTACATATACAAGGAGGCACAACTCAAAGATTGATACCGGAAGAGGAATCTTGTTTTAAAAATTAAACATTCAATAAAGTCTTCCTTCGAAATGAATATTTTACAATGGAACAGGTGGGAATTCCCAAGGAAATTTCCCGTGACATTGTCTCTGAGAATAACAATGGATTAGGTGACTACAACCTCCACGACAAAATGCCATATCGAGCTCGATCACAACCTGATAGTTAAATATAAAATGTACACGTGATATTTATAACTGTTGAAGACTAGGAGGTATAATACTGCTGTGTGATGTGTTGCTACTTCAGTAAATGCACTCCATCCTGTCCCCATGTTAGCCCATTGAAACAATGTTGAAGTTTATTACTGTACAACGCCCGTGTTAATTAAATCATGGCTTATAATACACATTATTGCCAAAAGATACGCCGTTAATATGATGATGATGATCAGCTGTAATGTACCTAACGCTAAAAGGCGGCATCATGTGGTGGTATTAGTATTCTTGGATCAGATTGTCATTCATCATTTTGTAGGAATATTTTGTCTGCGTTGTATGGTTACTAAACTACCATATCTAACGTTAAAGATAGATTAATGCATGTAATTTTGTGTGTAATAAATGATTTTTTTTATTAAAGTGTTTTTGATAATATTATTTCGTCCTTTGTTTTGATATACTGGACACGATAAGGAACTTTCATCAATGTCAACCAACACTGAGGCGCTGTACATTTGATGAAGTAGACAAAACAAACACGTCGCTTAATAGGGTATATATTTGATTTGTCTCGGTGAGTCTCGTCACTGAGACAAATTAAACATCCCGACTACCGTAAGAGAATCAGTTATTGCCTTAGTGTGTCCTGTTTCTGTATAAACCATTCGTATGTAAAGGAACGTATTGATGATATAAAAACATAACGTTCCATAGAAGAACCTTCCAGTTGCTCACTCTTTATCTTAATTTTTTTTCTTTTTTTTTTTCTAAATATTTCGAAATTGTATTCAGTTCGAAAATGTGAGGCGTAATCCACGGAATTGCGGAGTGTTTTGTATCATACATTTGACAATACAGACAAAGTCATTTGTATTAACGCGTTCAAGTTGTCTGATGATGTGATTACAAACTAAGGTACTTTTTTTGTTACAAAGAAATCAATGACTGAAATGACACTTGAGTTACCTCCCTTTAGCTGTATCTGTTTTATCCTTAACAGCACACTAAATACCTTAGATAAATCAGTGCATCAGTTCAATTGTATTAAACAGCAATACTGAAGAGGAACATGAAACATGATTTGTGTTTATTTCACGTAGCTGTATTTTCCTTAGTTTTAACTCCCACTCCTCACTTCAATATGTTTCAATAGCATTTCCGTTAAGCCGACAACAACCGTGTTACACTAAAGAGACATAGCTCAGATGATGGAGATAAGGACATGCTCATGAGAAAGTCATGCCAGAGTCTATAGAAATTTAACGACTGCTTTAAAGATATAAATTTCTGAAGATTTTGACAAATGTTATGCGAGCATTAGATTGTCTCAATGGATTATCTAGGAAACACATGCCTCGTGCAAAGTTAAGGAAGGGAATCCAATAGGCAAGTAATCGATAATATATCGAGAATTTGAAATCAATTACAATCTACATTTGCTAACACCACATTATTTGGAATGCGTTGATTTCAAGTAAAAGTGCTGAACATGAAGATTGTGCAAAAACATTAAAAACCAAAATCATTAGTGCAAAATTATGAATTGAACTACATCATGCAGCTGTTTCGTCT